GCCTCTTTAAACATGTTTGGTAACAAGATATCTCTATCCTAAACTCGTGATCCGCTCCGCTGCAAAAACCTCTCATAAATAAAATCGAATAAAACCCAAACCCTAAAACATTACCAGTAATTGGAATTTGGGTCTTATACATGGAAATGGAGGAGAGTTTCAATGTTAGAGTCAACAAAATATTCGGTTCTCTCTCCTCCTCTTCCTCCTCCTCCTCCTCGTCGTCGTCGTCATCGTCATCGTCGTCCTCCAAATCACAGTCACTCAGCTCTCTGTGGTGCCTCACGGACGACGAAATTGAGAAACAAGAATGGAACCGAGACAAGGACAGTCCCGAGCCGGAGCTCCAAGGCAAACAATTTTGTCTGAACAAAGAATTTGGAGAAAAGAAGCCGATGGATTTCCGTACGGAGCTAGAGAAGGACCTTGATGACTTGGACGACGATGTGGAGGAGGCAGGTGCGTCGTCGACGTTGACCTCGAGTAAAGGTGTTAAACCAGACGATTATAACGATGAGGAGTGGGAGATTAAGTCTTCAATTGGATTGGACTGCACTCTTGATTATGAGGTCAGTTCACTTGCTCTCCACCCCCTCTCTTTGTATTAGTCTGTGATTACTGATTAGCAGCCTTGTATGGTATTGGTTACCAGATATGATTAACTTCATTAAAATGAGAACATGAATTTTGGAACTGTAGGGGGTAGTTTTTGTTATTATTTTGTATCAACTCAATTTTGATAGAGAAAAAAACCCATTACTATGAATTGAAAATAATATTAAGCCAATTGGTGCCTATCTATTTAGGGGAAGGATCTTTTTTGCTCCTTAAGTGACATAAAGTTTAGCAATTAGCATGAGTTTGTTGCAAAGATGAGAATGGATTTACTATGCTGTCTCTGTGTCTGTTAACTTCATACTTTCTTTTCTTGAGAAAGAAGATTTGGAACTGTAGTAAGATAATTTTATATTTTTTGACTGGCTAAACAAAATGTTACGTGACTTAATGCATTATTTTGTCTTCATGAGATCCTTTTCCTGCATTGGATTTTGAATCAAGCTTTTTGCAGGAAGAGGAAGATGAGTATGATAAATTGGCTGTTGGCAAGAAGGGTGTCCATTACCTGTATATGGATGATGTAAATGATTATGAGACAGAAGCTGATTCTTACCATGGACTTCCAACTTCATTCAAGGATGTCATTAGGGATCCACGTGCAAATCACATAGCTGCAAAGATAAGGCTCAAAGAAGATGCTGAAGCTGCTAAGAGAAGACTTGAAGAAGACGCAGAAGCTGCTAAGAAAATCAATTCCTTGCGGGTGTCTGACAATGATGCACCTGCTAATATATATGCTCAAATTAGCACATCTGAGGATGGTAATCTGAAATCAATTCTCAAGAGGAAGGATGTTGAGTCTGATTCAAAGTCGCAAAAACGTGTTCGGTTTGATTCTGAATGTAAATATGATGGTCATGAGGGGTCTGAAGGAACCAAAGATGCTACAATGGAGACTTGCCCTGCTGAGGAAGCAAAAGTTTCTAACCAAGTATCAGTGTTGCCTCAGGATTTTCCTTCTGGAGTTCCTGATTACGTGCGTAATCCTTCAAAGTACACGCGTTATACTTTCGATTCATCAAGTAACATTGATGAGGAATCTAATCGGCAAGCATATATGGACTTTCTTAAGGTGCTTAAGAAGTCAGAGACTACTGAATCAAAACCAGATGATTCTTCCGATGAACCAAAATCGGTTACTTTCATACCAAGAAGGAAATGTAGTGATGCTACTATGGGAGAAAGTAGTGTACAGTCAAAACAAAAGCTGGCAGATTATGACCAGGAGCCTATGCAGAAGAGAGGCTTGCCCATTGGCATTGCAGCTGAAGATACAGATGAGGATGAAGTTTGCATGATGGAGGAAGATGAACCACAAACAACAGGTGATAAGAAAAGCAGCTCACAGAGGTCAGGCCGCAAATATCGGATGAAACCATGCTCAGAGCTTGATTAATCTAATATTTGACTACTTCATGCACATTTGACCTGTGTCTGGATTGCTAGTTTCTACTTTTTAGTTGAACTGGTTGAGCATTTGCATCTGAAATGTTCTTAACTTTGGGTGTTTATTATGAAGACGACACTCTGCTTACTCTGTAAATAATGACAAAAGAAAATTCTGTAGTACGAGGAGGCCTTAGACCCTCCCATCCCATGTGCCCTTGATCCTTTTCTGTGTCTAGAGGAAAGCAATTTATCACTCTCAAATAACCCGTGGTACCCTTTTTGTTTGTTGTTTTTTGGTTTTTTACTTTTTCAGGGGAAGGGGATGGGTTTTGTAGGAGAAATGGTTTGTCATTCCTAGATCAGTGGTTCAGTGTATATATTTATAACAGGTTCCATTTTTTAGTACACCTGATAATAAGCTGTGCATTAAAACAGAAGCAGAAACAATTTAGAGAAACATAAGATGGCTTCCCACCGCAACCCATGGGATAGAATTAGCTTTGAGAAATTCAGTCAACAGGATTATAATGATTAATGAAGCATGTACAAATCAGAAAATCAAATCAAAGTACCATAAAATCAACCTTTTTTTTTTTTCGCCAGCATTAAACCCGTCCGTTAATCCAAGCACATCCTGTTCCTGTTTTCAATTTAAATATTGCCAGTCTCTTTCCCTCATCTCCCATTTCCCGCTTGACCTATTTACTATTTCTCCATCTATTAAATCAGTACGTGATTTTGATTGTTTACAAACACCGCAGAAGCACCTCATCATCTGGTGAAAACCAAAAACATTGGCCGCCATGTCTGGCCAAAAGCATCTTGACAATTTTTGTATTTTGCAGATAACTCAGGACCTAAAATAAGCGTTTCCTGCATTCTGTTGCACCACAATAACATGGCATTTGTTTCACCTTTCCATCAGGACCATGAACACTATCCAGAGCATAGCCATAGTCATATGTTAGCTCCTACAGGTAACAACAAGTGAGTCAGTTACTCAAAAAGGCAATACATGATATCTGCACCCTGCAAGTAATAGAAAAGTCACAGCTGGATCCTTTTCTTGAAGTTAAACTATATGCAAGCAAATGCAACCAACCAGAATACTGTAATCCATCACAGTTAACAGGTAGGATTTAGATTATATGAAGTGATGCATGAAATCTGGCAGGTAGATAAGGTTTCACAAAATCACCAAATAATGCAAAACATTGAAGTTTACATATGGTAATTATCACTGGTTTTTACTACCCTTCCTTGGAAGCAAATGGTGAGAAAAACTGCGTTCCAATTAAGGATCAGAAATTGTTATTTTACTGTTCTTTTATGGTTCTCACTTGTTTCAACTCCACAATTCCAACGTATTGGATGGAAAGTTTGACAACTAAAAACAGTCAAAATGATTAACATATAGAAATTTTACTCATCTAATGCTTTCCATTCAACAGGAATCAGTTGAATGGACCCTACTGAACTGCTTAACATGGTGTCTACTGAACTGCTTAACATGGTGTCTACTGAACTGCTTAACATGGTGTCTACTGAACTGCTTAACATGGTGTTTACTATCTTAATTCAAAAGCAAGCCATAAAGGGCCAGCTTCAAATATGATGAAAAGAAGGTCAAATTATTAAAAACAAGCAAAAAATTCAAATCAACAACCAAAGGAATTAGCCAGGAAAATAAGATATTTTTGGCATAGAAGGCTTTAGACAAGTAGTTCCTATAATTGTACACTAAACATAGCCATTTCCCCTCAAAAAGGAAAGATGAGAGATGAATAGTGGGAATTCAAGAAATCCATTTCAAAATTCAGCAACACCGTGTCAAACACATGCTTGAAATGGACAAGTTGAAATTGGTTTACAGAAAGAGAAGACTACAGAATTACCTGCAAGGGTGGAATGTTGTCTGCAGCAAAGAGCATCACACGAGCAAGCTTCATATCATGGTGTGCACTCAAGACACATTGAATGAAAAGATTCGGTTCACAACTGTGGTTTATAAACCTGGCCACATTTCCAGTGGAACCTGCATCAATGCAGAATTCTGGCACATCAGATTTTGGATCCTCTATTTTGTCCGCATTGGTAACCACTGGCATAGATGCATCTTGCTGTCGCCTCTGTCAAAGAAAAGAAAAATGAATGTTAAAGCAATCTTCACATAGCTGAAATGTAGCTTGAAAAATTAATTTTGCAGCTGCATAACTGAGTAAATCACAAATGGTAATGGATCATATGTCAGGCAGATTCAGCGTCAAAGTTGCATTTTCAAAATATTTTAAACATTTCTTTGTCCATATATTTAAAACATTTTAATTATTAACGATACCTCTCTTCCACCAAGCCCTCTCATTGTCTGCAAGCAATCAATGTCAAAGATGTAATTGTTCTCAGAAGAGACATTATCTAGATCTTCTGTTCTCATCAGTACTCCTATATATTCACAAACCAGAGCCCCAGATGGTATAAAATCCCAAGATCTGACAGCCCATCCTTTCTTTGGAGTGCGATACACCTGTTAACAAGCAGTTATACACCCATAGAACACCCTTACCAAATCCATTTCCTTTGAAAACAAGGAAAAAAAATGCATTGAGCAAACAGCTAGAAAAACAAACCTCAAGACGATATCTCAATCCTCTCTGGGATGTCCGGTTAACACAACCAGGCCCACAGCCACATCTTGGGCCACATTCAAATACAACATCCTTAGCTTCAATTAACCTGGAGAGTACAAATAAGAGCCCTATCAAGCATAAGACTCGATAGATAAGAATAATAACGATTGGATGAATGGCTGGATGGTAAACAATAATCCTTCTCATCCACAAAATTTTACCTGCCACTATCACGGTGGACATATGGAAAATCAGTGCCATTAAGCCTAGCACATGAACAAGTCCGGGGATTCAAGCAACTACCCCCTTCGCAATCACATCCAACTGCATTAGTGGGAAGCTTAACGTTTTTCACTACTTTCATAGACTTGGAATACGTGAAACCTGCAATACAAATAATGAGGCTGCAATTATGCATACAGCATGACATGGGATTCAATCTCTTCAAATTTATCTATCCATCAAAAATGCTAGGTGTCTGTTTGTTGTTGATTGATCTAATATGCCCTCATATGGTCAAACACTTTCTTAACAATTGTCCATTACACATAAGATTAGTTGACTGTTAATAAGTTACAAAACTCAAGAATTGGCTAACCTGTTGGTGCAACAGGTGGATCATCAACCAAGTTGGTAGCTGGAATGGGAATATTCTCTACACCTCCAGTAATGTCCTCGCAGACCAACCTTGACCAATCAAAATATGTGATATCTCAATGAGATAAACACTAATAACATCCCAAGACATTATAACATTTGATTTTGGAATAATTAATTCTTCAAATACCCGCGTATTTCTGAAAGAGACTCAGGTACACGTCCATAGACAAAATGAACCTGTCATATGGTAGAACAAATATGATCCAAAGATCCATAGGAAAATAATTAACAGGCTTGCTTTGCAAAGGTTGTGCATTCTGAAAGGTTAAAATCTTATACACCAGAGACAGCACATGATAGATTAAAGTATCTTTCATAAAATCAAGAAGAGATATTAACCTGGTTAGTGGTCAAAATTGGCTGTTCTTCAAGCCGACGCAAGCGATACTTAAAAACTGTAAATCCAGAAATGCCTTTCTCTGCCCAATACTTAACAACCTGCAACAAGAACAACATCAAAAAAGAAACAATGTGGTTCTCTCACATCCCACACATGGAAAAAAGTTAATTTCCAAAATCAGAAGAAATATATAAATGCTCATTGCACCAGGAAATGTGAAAGAATAGAAGAATGATACTTATATCAAACACAGGTAGAAATTAAAACAACGTCATCTACTCAAAGAATTTCAAAATTGAGTTTTAACTAAAAGAAAGACATAGAATCCCAAATAACAAGGCCCTATTGAAAAATTGAAGAATAAAAAACACAACAAAGCTAAATTTTAAAATTAGTGGCAACCACATCATTACATGGCACATTTTGTAATGTAAAGAAATTAGTCAGATTGATTCCAATTTAATAGAGCTGGCAAAACCATAATAGAAACTTGCAGAACGAATCTGATGATAGTTTAGACTTAAGACACATAATAATGAAAGACCTTGCTATTCCAATCACCTATTGAAAAAATGCAGATTTAATCAATAATTTTAGCTTATGTACTATCCCACTAAAAAATTAGATTGAAAAGAGCATTCCTTTCTCAGTTTCAGTAACAGGTAATAGCAATTCACAAGCCACATTTACAAACAAACATAAAAAAAAAAAAAGGACATGTCAATCATATTTGAAAGCATGCTTATACATTCTTTATGAATTGCCAAAAGAACTTCCATGAATGTTAGATCACAAGATTTAATAATACATGCAGGAGCGAAGTATTTTGCAACAGTATTGACAATTTCAAGCAGCACATATCCCATTCAAACAAAAGTAACCACAGAAAAATGCTAGGAAACTTAAGTTTTCTGAGTCTACCTTGTACAGACCATCATATGTATAGACCTTGCCAGAGTAACTACCAGCAGATTCATGACCACGAACTACTCTGACAGGTACGTCTTGATCCACACAATTCTACGGTGAAGTGCAGAGAGAAAAACAAAGAAAAAATGTTACCACATCTAGATCCGAGATTCCCAATACAAAAAATTACAATCTTATAAGCAAACAATATTGCAATCTTTATTCATTTTCATTACCTTGAGAGCCAGATTACCACGTTCAAGGACTTGATCCCGAATTTGTCGTTTGTTGCCTGTCAAATCATGCCCTCCTTGCCCAGTGTATATGACATCTTCAGCATTATCTAAATCATCCTCATACATGCCTGACAATACTATGGCTACAGCAAGTGGAAAGATATAGTGACCATACTCCTGCAAATTTCCAGTGCAGTAACATGTTAATCTTCTGTCATGCTCGTGCAAATATTGCTCCACAGTTATCATAAATATTACAGATTGCCATGTCCCTTTTTCCCTTCTGTTAATTGTTTTAAAGGAAAAGTATCAGATGGAATTTTGCAAAAATAACTATAAAACAGTCCATACAGATTTATTGAGATTAACCCTATTAGCAAGAAAACAACAGAAAACATGAGAATACAACATGCTATAGAACAGAAAAAGAATGATTCAAGGAAACAAACATTGATATCTAAGCATATGCGTGTAAACAAATAAGCATTGGTCTTTACCATGAATTGGAAAATATTTGGCTGTATAAATTAGTAGGGACTTATCTTTTTGAATTTCAACTATTCTTGCGGTTTACTTTGAAGTGATATATCATAACAATTTCACGAAAACAACACAAATAGGGGCAACAAGTGCTGCTACATGAACAACAATGATTATACTAGAAAAATAGAATAGTTTACCCTTTCATTTAGAAGGTTAAAAGGATGAAGATAGGGTTACACTTGAAAACAAAGTTGCATATGGGAAATAGAGTTTAAATTGAGTATGTATGTATGGTCAATCAATTCAACCTTAATATATCTCCATCCAGAGATAATAAATACATTACCCCTTTGGCATACGCTTGTCCCATGTAATCAATCCCATTCAGCCAGTGACTATGAAAACCAACAGCAACCATTTCAGCCCGTGAATAGAACTGGTGTCCAACATTAATACCTGGAAAAGATGCCAAGTTCAGTTTAAAGTTCAAAAAAGAAAACATGACGTATCACAGTGGATGCAACCAACCTGGAATGCTGCCAATCCTTTTCTCGGGATAAAGTATCTCCTCATTCTCCATCATCTGTAATTCATTCCACTCTTAGAGAACATCAATACATAAAACATCAAAATTATGAAAACATAATGGAAAGGCCTACCATCAATAATGATGAAACGGAACTTGTGGAGTACAAAGTTGCAATTAGCCTCAAGAGATAACAGAAATGATGATAAAAAGAAATACCAGCAATTCAAAAGTCACTCGCCTTGGATATGGCCTTCAAGTCAGGTCGCTTTGCCTTGTTCTTGACTGAATCTTCAGGTACTTCCCCTTTCCGCATCTGGTTTAGCATTGATATAAAAGACACATACACAAACTTCAGGTATAGAGATTACATTACCCACAACATTAGACTTTTTAAGAAAAGTAAAACCACCAAAAGAATGCAAAAGTAAATTCATAAATAAAATTAAGCATCAACATTCAATTACTAACCTTGGTTTTTGTCTTCTTAGAAGCTTTCTTATTAACTTTCACAGTACTGCACCTCTTTTCCTCTTCCTAAGGACCACTAAAAACTTGTATAAGAACAATTCTGCTATCCAAACCCAAATCAATAACAAAAATAGAATAAAATTTAACAATACAAAACAGATAATGCTAGCATTTATATCTGAAGAAATGTGACGCACCTGAACAAAATGGAGATAATGCTTGTTGAACAACCTCAAGGTATCTTTCACTTTAGCAGGCGCACTTTTCTCAGCAAGAGGATTAGCAGTAGCAGCTCCATTTGGCACAGGCACAGGCACAGGCACGCAAGCATTATCCGGGTGCTCCTCGGCATTTGTGGGAGTCGTTTCTTGGGATTCACTATCATTTTCAGTTGTTTGTATCTTCCTACGGGTATAAGCTTTCTTCTTAGCGCTACCCCCATCTTCCTCCTCCAAGAGCTCAACCCTACGGCGATCGAGAAGCTCCTTTTCAATCCGCTGTTGTTTGGCGGCCTGAAGCCTGGCACTGCATCTTGTGACGGAAGAGGCGTTTTCTTTGTCAGGGGAATCCTTCCTCTTGACAGCCTTCTTCTTCCCATTTGGAGCAGGACTGTCCACTGAATGTGGGGATTGTACCACCATTTTGGAGGGGAAACAGGAAAAGAAGAAATCAAAGGGATAAGAAGAGAGTTAGAAGAGAATAAATAAAAACAAAAAGGGAGATCGAGGAGAGTGGGAAGCTAGGGTTTGGGGGGGAAAAGGGCAGGGTTGGGGAAGATGGAATTGGTGTTGGGAGTGAGAGAGAGTAAGCGGTAAAATGGGGGAGAGAAAGGGAGGGAAGTGACGATTTCATTTCATTTTTGGAGCTCAACAATTGAGGCGTATCCGCATCCGGACAGACGATTCTGATTGGACTGATGACCCAAAAATTTTTTCCTTTTCCATTTTTGAATTCGTTTTTTTTTTTTTTTCATTTCTTTTTTTGGACTGCTTTCATTTTTTTGGGTACACCATTCTGCTCCCTTCCAAAAAGCAATGAATGCGGTAGCAACGGGACGATGATGTTGAAGACAATAATTACAATAATT